TGCCCGTACAAGGATAAGATGTAGGTCTCCAAGGTCAGAGGGGAAGGAGCTCCTGCACCAATCATTTGTCAGGTCTGGGCACAAGACAAACTATTGACTCTTTTTGCAACAGAACTAAGTGGGTCAACTATGAAGGGAGTCTGACTTCATCTGCCACCCTCTGATTTATTTGCAAGGAGAATAAACGCCTACAGAAAAAAAAAACTATTCTTATAAGCACTTGTTATCGTAATAAATAATCCCTTAAATTTCATTAAGATGGAACTGAAGATTTTGTAAAGGTTTGAGTGGGTTTTCCTAGCTGAAATATTGAATTGTACTCTATTCTTTACAATACCATTCTTAGACACCTTATGCAGGAATTACTTTTCTCTATGGATAGAACTAGACACACATACCTCATAATAAATTGCCAGTTTCAGCACAGAAATACATTAACTCACAAAACACTCTCAGAAGAATTTAAATCCTCCAGAACGGCATGTTTGTATGCACATGGCTTTCTGTGGGGTGTCAGATGCCAGATTATTTCTGAATGCTGTGATTCAGAAAGATAATTTTGCAATCAGAAAATAAATTTATTTCAAACAATTTAGGAAGCATAATGTAAGAGATCTTATTTTGCCACAGTGTCATTTTTAATTCTATAATGTTTGAGCATTAGTTATCATATTCAAAATGAACTTCTTCATACAGTGTCCCAATTCCAATTATTCACTATATCCTTCAAAGTACCATGACTTAAACAGAACTTGATAAAGCATTTCACAACATCTGAAATTAATTCTAATTTTTTTAATTTTTCCATTCTATATTTAAGAAATCACTAGAGAAGAAACTTTGCAGCTCTTCAGGATTCTTTCTACATTCAACAATATTCATTGTCAGGAAAATTTTCCTTACATTGATCTGAATTCACAGAGTTGTAATTTTAACTCCTTTATTCTTATGAATTCAGTAGAAATAAACTTTTTGTACCCATAAACTATAATGACAGCTATTATTAATTAAACACTTTTGTGTTATACATGGTGATAAAAGTTTTACACATTGTCTCATTCAATCTTCATGCCGCAGTATTCTTACTGTTCTTATTTCAAGAAAGAAGAAATTGAAGCATGGAGATTAAATTTTGTCCATGATCTCACAAGTAGCAAATGACAGAACTGGGACTCAGCTGAGGCCTTTCTCATTCTTAATTCTGAGGAACGGTATGGCCTCTCAAGAATCTGCTCTCAGCATGTCGTTATTATTCCTAAATACAAATGGTCCCTAACTTGCTATAACTTCATTTATGATAATCAGACTTCACAATCTGCATAAGCAATAGGCATTCAGTAGAAACCATACTTTGAATTTTGAAATTTTCCAGTGCCAGCAACATGGAGCATAATACTCTGTCACAATGTGTCATTGAGTCAAGCCACATCTCCTAGTCAGTCATGAGGTCATGAAGGTAAGCAATCAATATCTGAAAGTTACTGTTTCAAAGCTATGATGTTTGGTAGGAGCATCTGTAATCCCAGTCCTTTATCCCATTTTCTGAACTATTTCATCATCCTTAATTCTACTCTAGAACCATCTCAGCATTTTCCAAATCTACTTTATGGGAAACATAGATTAAACTTCCTAAAACAAGGATTATTTTATGGATTTTAGCTTCTGTATTCCTATTTTAGAAACCTAACTACAGTAATTTCTTAGTAAGAGTGTTCTATTACTAAATTGTACCTAATAAACTATCATAAATTCTAGAACATTTCTAAGAACACAAGCTAATATTGAAATACTTATTAGTGGATATAGCTAATATATAAAGGCTCTTTTATACCTTTCTAGGTTATTTTTAAAAATAGAATTCAATATTGTATTCATATGCAGAACTGTGTTATAAGCAGTACTTTAAAAATAGAACCAGAAAGCTTATTAGATTTAACTTATATAATTATTTGAATTTTATAGATATGTATGTATGTCAGGATATATATGGCATTGTAAATCAAGAAAGCAGAAAATAAGGTCAACATTCTGTCCACTAAATATTTTCATAGTAACTAAAACAGAAAATTAATTGCCTTTTTGATGAGGGTTTTATTTTATACTTTCAACTGACTTTTTCATTAGACCATCTAGAATAATATAATTTCTGATCTAAAGCAATTGCACATTGGCTCATAACTACTGTGTACATGTGCCATCAAAGGCACTGTGAGTACACCAGTATCTCTAATTTTTACTGCTTCCACCATCTCTCACACCACACACACACACACACACACATACACAAACACGGCTCCCCAAAATATGGGTGGGAATTATTAGAACCATGAACATAATAATAGATATCTTTTATGAGGAATTTTAGCCTACTTTCCAATAATCGTTTATCAATGTAACAACTGAAATACCAGGTGTAATTTTTTGTAGTCAACTATCCACAAGAATTTTTATCAAACTGCAGTTTAGCCAGGGGTCATTACTCCGAAGGGAAGACAGGTACTTTGGCAAAGAATGAGAAAAACCTTACAGGAATGATCCTGTGATCTTCCACTCATATCACCAGTCATAAGTTTTCTTTAACCTCCATTCCATTCCAGTTGAAAGTGAAGAGAGAAAAAAGCAATGTTCGAGTGTTTGCTAATTAGTCCAAGGGTCAACAGAGGAAGAAGAAAAGATTTCTACACCATGTCCTTATAACATGAATATCATCCAGAATAATCACACTTCTTTTGTGAAACAAATAAAAGCCTATTACTTTGTTGATACAAATTTCAGCCAGTGATTGTCTTAGTATTTGTACTGATTTTTTTTCTACTTTCTTTTCCAACTTTTGTGCACTATAAGAAAAAGTTTCAAATTCTTTTAAATTTGTTATGCTATATTTCACATTACAAGTTTTCAGGAATGTGGAACATTTGTCCTAAGTAACTTTATACGATAGAGTTGAGTTACATTGAAGCAGAAACTGGTTTTACACAGGACATATGTCTTAAAAGTGACTAGCTTACGGAAGTGGGAAAGGACTTCTCTTAAGGTTACTAAATTCATGCCTATAATTCCAGCACTGGGGAGACTGAGACAGGAGGACTGGGAGTCCAACACCAGGCTGGGTTATACAGCAAGACCAAAGAGAGCAAGAGAGCCCAGTAAATCCTTCCTTATTTTAAACTTTGCACACACCCTCAGAATTACTCTTCTGGCAGAACCTAATTCCAGAACACTGATCTGACAATGAGCAGATTGTGAGGGAGCCAACTTCCAAATGGTACAGTGTGGGTAGGAGATCCCTGGCAGGACTTCTACCACCAAGCCTTTCAAATATAGTATATGCAGAGGGACTGGAATTTCTGGGACGTCCCCAGAAGCTTCCTCTGAGTTTGAAAGAATTCTCTTGAAGTTGGACAGTCTATTGTCTTAGGAGAATTCTGGTAGCTCCACGTGGGGCCCCTGAGATGCTCCTTGTGAATAAATAAGCCTGTCTTTCCATCAAGGAGTATGGCTTAGCATGCTTACTCAGATTTGAATCGAGCCATAAGTTTGTACCTGAATGTTCACCAGATCAATAATATTTGGTAAAGGTCTTTCAGGTTAATTAGATTGTATATATGTGTATATATACACACACATATACAGGCACAGTGGTGCATGCCTGTAGTCCTAGCTACTTGAAAGGCTGAGCTGGAGGATCTTTTGAGCCCAGGAGTAAGAAACCAACCTGGCTAACATAGTCAGATCCTGTCTCAAAACAAACAAACAATTACAACAGCAAATAAAATAGAATCACAGAATTTTAATTTTGGAAGGGACTAATAAAATACATAGTCCAACCTTCTCATTTTACACATAAAAATAATTTGAGATGTTTCCTTTTATGTGTACCCAGCCAAAAGTAAAAGTCATTGCAATGCCACTATTTATAAATCTAAGCTTCTAAGACAACCTGTTACTACAAATGAAAATCCATTTCAAATGATATAAAAACTTTTATTCTATGTGCCTATATAGTATCTAAACAGCATGATGCCCTTTAATGATGTCAGCAGTACTGAAGTTAAACTTGTCTTTAAGAAGCTCAAATTCAGGCAGAGGAGAAATGACAGAACTCAAATCAATCAGACTCTAAGCATCTTAAAGTGAGGGCTTTAATTTAACTTATTTCACATCCCTAATAAGTAGACAAGTCCCTATCACAGTACATGTTTTTAATGTATTTTTTACTATGCTGATTGGTATAACGTTCTGATTGGTTGAATGAACAAATGATTGCTGTAAATATCAGTGTAAGAAAGTACATTCAGGGAGAAACCTGAAGCCGGGATCAGTTCAGGGATTTTTAGTTGAGTTCTATGTTTATCAGTTTGTAGCCTCACGGCAATTTGTCATCACAAGATCTTACCTGAAGTTCTCACTAGAATAGGTACCGCCCTTACAGTTTGCTATTCTTAATGTTCTAAAAGTATATTGGAAGCACTCCAAGAGCAGCAGGACTGTAGCAAAACCTGCCATTAACGAAAGACATTTCTAACCTGCATAATCATTTACACACTCCTCCTTCCCTTTCCACTTTAATTTAAGCTTATTTTACCACAAAATCATACAGTCATTTAAATAAAATGCTGCTGTGGAATCCAAGCAAGGCTAAAGGCTCCCTCTATGGTAATGTGCTTCTACTCTTTCCTCAACTTTCTGAGTTCAAATGAAGCTGTAGAAAGAACCAGTGGGGGGAGGGGGAGGAAAGGATAATTGGGGAATGAATATGATCAAAGTATATGTTTGAAAATAGCAGAAGTATATTATATGTATCATGGAAATAGCATAATGAAATCTGCTAGCAACTATTAGTAAGGGGAAGGGGAGGGAGGGAAGTTAAAAGATAGTAGTGGGGGGGTGGCATTGATCAAAGTACACTGTACATAGATGAAAATATCACAACAACCTCCCCCTTACGCAATTAATTTGCACCAATAAATTTTTTTTTTAAAGAAAGTTAAACATCTTACCATCCAGATGGTCCACGTAACAATACACATCATAGGTTTCCTGAGGAGAACGGAATCCATAGGTCCTGACCCCTTCCTTCCCCATCATATCTCCGTAGCAGCCTTCTCGGGGAGCCCGGATGGGATATCTGGGGAAGCAAAGGACTAGTAAATGACATTATTTTCTTCTCTCTGACAAATTCATGAGTTGAAGCTGGAGCTCTCACCTAACAGTCTGATCAGATAGCCAGCCTGCATCACACTGCTCAAATCCATCTTCATAGGCAGCAAAGAGCTGCTCTGGGGTTGCTATGATGGCCCCGATGTCCACACAAGCCTTCTGAGCAGCCTCAAAGTTCAGAGTGTACCTGCTGGTGGCTGCCCTGTAGTGAAACACAACCCCTGCAAAGACAAGAACAGTCATTTGCAGGCATGTTCAAATTTCCCCTGTATTGTGCAAAATTTCTCATTGAAGCAATACACCAAATTAATTGGTATCAATAATAATACCATCAAAATTATTTTTACTATGATTTGAAGAACTTCAAAAATGCCACTATCTAGTTGTCCTACTCTGCTCTATCAGAACATTTGCTAGGCAGGAATTTTCTGTTAGGATATAAACAAACTGAGAAAGAGATTTAAGTCATTAAATCCCAAATGGTGGATAATTTTCCTAATTGCAGGCAGTATTCTGGTTATTGTGGAACACTGAGCACTAAACAGTATAGATTATGTAGAAGACACAAACAGGTAAAGAGGGCCAAAGAATGAACTTCTCCCACTTCATGATTTTACCTAGGGCCAGCACAATAGAAGAACATAAAGCATTCATCTGTTCAATGAAAATATTCACTAAGGCCCCTCCACTTCCTCCAAACATAAAATATTGGGATATCTGCTTTCAGAGACAACATGCCAGGGTAGAAAAGGCACAGAACTATATATGAGTGAGAAGTCTTATTCTAATATGTCATTTTTTTCTTACTCAGAAGTAAATCAGACTCTCTGAGCCTTAATTTCTTTTCCCAGAAAGTAGATTTAACATTACTTATTATATTTGATTGACCTGAAAGTCAAATTAAGTAAAGAATTTTAAAATGTTAGATACTACTCAAATGTGTGTCATATTCACTGTCTGACTAGCATAATTTAGGGTCTCTACTATAACAGATAAAGTATACAGTTTTTATCCCAAAGAAGGTCTGAAATAAAGTTCACCAGAACTCCAGAAGTGGAAGCAAGGCATTCTGGCGCTTGCCTAAAGTTCCACTTTGTTGTATTTCAGGGATTGCCTAAACTAGTGGTATTGAATTGCATTCCAGAACAGTCAAAGGGGTGAGCAAAGAGCAACTGATGGGGTGGAGCTGTGGGGTCCTCTCTTCCCATCTCAACAACAATATTTCCATTTTTAACTAGAGTAAATATCATGACTCATTTCTACAAGCCATCAAAATGAGTTAAGCTAATATGCCAGGGAAGTCACCAGAAAACAGAAATTTATTCTTATGAACAAAATTTTACTGAGTCATGTCACTTAAGACCTCTTTTTGTTGTTAATGTTCGGAATAAGTTGTGGTTTTCAAGATATCTGCCACTTTCCTCTTATTCCTAGTAATTTCCTAGAGTTAACACATCTATCTTCACCAGTCTAACTTCTAGTTATCAGACTATCTCCCATATATCCATCTCTATTCCAAGCCAGGTGTGTGCCAGTAAAGCAGTTCTGAGGGAACACACTAGCCATCTCCTAAGTAATACATCATATGATCAGTGTCAACACAAAGGGACTTGCGCAGGCACCAAGTAGATGCAATCTGACAACTAACATTTCATCACTCAAAATACCACTAAATGCCAGTTTGTACCTTTATAGAACCTCTCTAAAATTATTAGGAAGCATATATGGTGCTGTCAGGTGACTACAGAGATGGTTTAAAATTAGCTGTAAAGTTGAAGCAAGTACTTGAATGATTTTAAATTAGTTTTATGTTGATCAAAGCTTCAAATAATCTTCTTGGTAATCAACAATCTTCCACATGCTCTGCAGATTGTTAGTAAGGGGGGACAAGAGGGCCTTCTTGACCAAGGCAGGGAACATCAATTTGTATAAGTATCTGTAACTGTTGGAATAATTTGAAGACCCCATGGGGCTAAGGAGATTAAGTGGAGGATTTTCATTGTTTCAGAGGGGCAAGGGACAAATCCATTGCTAGTTCTTTAATGATGAAAAATTGTAAGAAGTTGTTAAACTCCTCTGAGGATTTTTAAACAGAAAGAGAATGGTACAAGCTTGAGCTAACTAAAATAAATGATGGAAAGTTTAGAAGATCTCAGGATATTTAGTAGATACTGGGGCAACATAAGAACAAGTTTATATACTGGAGCAATAGAATTGAATGTTAAAGGATGTTCAGTACATTAGTTTGCTGTGCCTGAAATCCAAAGTATTTCTTTTGGGCTAAGCAAAAAAGACTTTTAATTAAAAAAAAAAAAAAACCTTCATATACTTCCAAAAGGCAAATATTTTATAAGGAAATGAAGGGTTGGAAGAAAATCTGTTCCATCATGTCTGGGTATTAGACTTTGCTTAATAACATGCCAAAACACTCTGCTTCTAAGAGCTATGGCATTATGTGTGTGCCCAATTAAAGCAATTTTTCTTTGCTTTGTCTCTGAACCTAAATTCAAGTGACATACAAACCACCACTCAAAGGAGGATAAAGCTGAAATGTCTCATTGCAAACTAAATGGATACAAACTGATATGCTAACCTTAAAAAATTTCACAATTTTGTTTGTTTGTTTAGGTCTTAGCCTTTTAAAGATTCTGTGATATATATCACAGTACTTATTAAATATTTCATTTCTTCAATGTAAGTTAAAATTTATAATTTCTGAAAGTGAACTCAAGAGTTTTAATAAACACACTAAGAGGGCTTGTGATGCTGTCGCTCAGTGATAACGGCACAAGGTCCTGGGTTTGGCACCACAGAGAGAGAAACAGAGACAGAGAGACAGAGAGAGAGAGAGAGACAGAGACAGAGAGAAAGAGAGAGAGAAAGAAATGTATTGATGTGTGTATGTGTGTGTACATACATGTGTGTGTACACAAATATAGGCACATAGGCATACATAAAAATTAAAATGCACATTAGTCATTACAGGCTTGAAAAGTAATATCAATAAATTTCAACCCTAAAGTAATGATTGTTAAACTGTATACCTTGAGGTGTTCATTATTTCCAGTATACTGTACTACATGGAATCCATGAAATTGTGGAAAAATCACCTGCCTTGGCCTCTGAATGAGTAACAGTTCATTTTTGGTGATTGCACATGGACTATTGGGTTAATGAATGCATGCATCAGTAATTTTTGAGTGCCATTTCACACTTCTGTTCATGCTGCTCTGGATTCTGAAAGCCTTACCATCCACAGCCAGTGACACGGTGTCCTGCGTGTCCTCAATCCCGTACATGACATCACAGCGGTAGGCGCCCGCATCGCTTGCACGCAGTTTGACCAAGGTGAGGGAGGCATCGCCCACGTCGTCGGGATGCGTAGGCACCGACACCCTCCCTTTGTAGTCCTGACCAATCTTGATATTCCCATTTTGAGCCACAAGGACGGTAGTCTCCTTTAAATCTTTTCCACTTTTGTCCACTTCAATCTTAGACCATTTGATTCGGAGAAATTCGCTGGTGTTGTAACTGGGTGGTAAGGTAGGCATGGTTGAAAAATGACAAGGTAGACTGACTTTTCCAGAGATGGAGCCCTTCACAGGAGGGCTTTTTTCCACTTTGACTATAGAGGAAAGAGAAAATACCAGATAACAGTCTTAAAAAACCCAGAGTCTATTAAATATGTCAATGGATAAACCTTATAGTGGTTTAGTTTCATCTTCAATATGAAGTAATTAGAATCATTAAATAAAGCAGAATACAATTTCAATAATGCTTTATAACAGAGATTTAATAATGATCGTGTTTTGTATTGAAATGTGGAGTTCATTTAAAAGTATTTTTCACTTAGTTTAACATGAAAAAATAAGTAATAAAATAAGGAAAGAAGGGCCAGTGCTCAAGGGCAGAGCAGGAGGGTGGATCAAAAGTGAGGTTTAGAAGACTAGACCAGTATTAGGAAAAGCAGTTGAAAGTGAGATTTATGTTTAAAGGTCACAGACAAAAAATGTTTAAGATAACTGCCAGTTACCTTAGAGGAAATAAAACTAAAACTCAAAGGGAAAGTTAAGAATTAAAAAAAAAAAAGTACTTCACAGGACTGGAGCCAAGGGAAGTCTGACTTTGAAAGGCTCCCTTCGGGCCCCAGTGTCAACCAAAGACTTCATTATAATGACAAATCCAGCTGCAATCACTTTGCAATGAAACATTACCTCGAATTATATCCTGGGGGGAAAGCCAGCTTCTGTTCACTTAACCCTACTAAAATACTTTTTTTCTGTTTAAGCCCTTAAACTTAATGACAAAGGTTACCTTGACTACTACTTAACACTGATGTATGCAAAAGAAAATGTCCTTTTCACCTTACAGGCCTCCATTCCCTTCTCCCCAGCCCTACTCCAATCTTCCAACTTCTACTAATTAGGCTGGACAAAGAGGTTGGTAAAAATAGAAAATAGAAATTACTGCTAATGTATAAGCAATGCCTACTTCATAAAAATATGGTCAACAAGTTAAAAAGTAGCCACCAGGTAATTACCAAAATGATTTGTATCTAACTCTGTGGTAGTGGTCTAACAGATTAACAGATGTTTCAATATGGACATGCATCAAAAATGACATGGTTGTCAATCAACCCTGTGGATTCAGATGAGCATAGTCATTTTTAAAATTCCAAGAAGATATTAGGTAGATTTTATACCCTTTAGGAAAAATACTTAATTGCTAAATACTAAAAGTCAACTTTGAAAAATACTGGCCTACAAAATCTTTTATATGACACAAATAAATCTAAAATAATGAACATAGTATACTAGTGTACTTGTGATAGAAATCACTAATCTATTCCATGCTTATAATGGTCATTGCTATCATGAAATTTTTTATCATAAATAAACATACATATATATAAACGCACATATATGGCTTGTCCACAAGGCACTTATGATTAATTAAAAATAAAGTGTGCCATTAGGTGCAATTAGTTACTCTCTAAAATGTTACTTATATTACTTGCATATGTAATGTAACAGCAGGGTGATAATTCCATTTTTAGTGACTTTCTTTGCTTAGAAAATAAACTCCCTATTTTAAAGCCTACCCTTAGAATAGCACTGGTCTGGTTCCTTACTAAGGACGTACCACTGAGAGGAAGTGACAAGCTCCCATCTGACTAGAGACAAACATGAGCCAGAATACATGTCTCTTTATCCTTAATGGAGAACTCTTTTAGCTTTGATATTTATTGAGTTTTTTCCCTTTCCCTAAATAAAGTAACATAAGAAGTCTTTGTTTTACTTTGTTTTCAGTATCCAAACTCTTCTTACGTCTATAATTCTTAAATTACTATCAGCACTGAAAGTTTTTAGTATTTCATGATCTTTTTAATACATCCATAAGGTCCACAGGGGATGTCCTAAGAGTAATACCTACCTGGTTCATATTTTAATTTTGACCCAGTTAGGGAGATGACAAAACAAACATATCTTGGGGGTTTTTGTTATTGTTGTTTGTTTGGTTGGTTGGTTTTGGGTTTCTTTGCTTGTTTGTTTGGTCAAGAATGGGGTTCTAAGAAGAAAAGGAGTAAAAATTCTGTAATCTAAAAATCTCTTAATTGGCATTCTGTATGTCCTAGGAAATCTCATCTTCCTCCTGAAGAATTACTCACTACAAATAAAATATTATAGCTTTATTACAAACAAAATATTACTTTTTTAATGAAAAAAAATAAACAGCTTTATCATCAACTTCAATTATGGCATAAATTATTATATTCTTTATCTTCTCCCCAGAAAATAGTTTAGGATAAATGTCTTACAATTCCTTAACTTTTATTACTAACTTGAAATTCTTTTCATAATTTTAGGTGTGTTGGGGCAGACATGATATTCAGTCCAATCTAACCAGTAGGAAGGTTTCTGAAACTGAGGACATTGCTTAATAACTATGTAGTAATGAAAAGATGCAGTGGGACAAACACATCAAAAGGCAGTTTTCCAAGGACTGCTTATTGTTTTGTATGTTTAAAGATACAAAAAAAATTAAAGGTTTTGATTTGACATAAATATATGTTCATGTAGAACCTAATCTTATAAGATTAACAAAAACTGTGTAGTCAAATCTTTTGTGTATTAAATCTTGGGTCTTAACTCACTGGGTCACAACAACTAAATTAGCTAGATCTGAATATTTAAGGAAAGAAATATAGTAAGTAGTTATAATGTATACAGACTATGCATGCTTTTTAAAAAAATCTGCTACCTGCAGAAACTTGTCTGAAATTCTGACAATGTAAGTAATAAAAATATATCCTAACAAAAAAGTTCACTGTTCCCACAAGATGGTTTGTGGTCTAAATGAGTACAGTAAGTGAGAATGCTCCATGTAATGAATGATCAATTATCCCTCATTCTGCCAGTAGATTCTGCAGAGTAAGGATGGTGTAAATTCCATCTGTATACACACACACACACACACACACACAGAGAGAGAGAGAGAGAAAGACCTTACCAAATAAAATCACTCTCTTGGTAAATATCAGTACTTAGCTCATTCATTAACTCATGACTATGTATTTCGTTTCTTACTATTAGAAGAATATCTAAGGAAAAACAAGGTCAAGAAAGTAAAAAGGAAACTATTAGGGAGGTAAAATTGGATGGGGAAAACGGGGAGGGAACATAAGAAAGAGTAAAAGAGGGGGTGAATATAATCAAAGTATATTACATACATGCATGGAAATGTCAAAACCTTATATTTTCTACATTTGGCTCTCACAGGAAAAAAATTTAATTCTCCCAAAATTAGCCCCAAATTAATAAACATCTCTTAATTATGGGCATGGATTCACAAAGAGTAGAGCCTGCTTTGTAGAAATTATTCAATATTATTGGTTATTATTAAATTTTTTAAATACTATGAAGCAACTATGCTGAATGTAGTTTTGTCTTGTTTTATTCTTTGTTATGTGAGTCCTTTATCTTCAGTAGAGGGATGACTGCCCACTACTTTCTTTGAAATTCCCCTTCCATTATTGCCTCCCGAACCAATTCCCCTTTCTATAACCCTTTCTACACTCTCTCTCTTCACTGGATATTATTGTCCTTTCCTCACTGTGCTCTTCATCTTCTGGAAAACTTTTAAGAAGACAATTCTTGGGCTGTTAACAGCTGGTGGAACCTAGACATTGATATCAAATTGGGTCATTCACTGTGGCTTTCATTCATTTAGTCAGTGAACATATAAAATGTTTAAGGACTGTCAGACCTTCTGCTACAAGAAAAAATATAACCCTTCTTGCAGTTCACAGTACACTTTGGAAGAAAAAGAAGTAACTTATCACAAGAGAGTGGTATATACTGCAATAGTTATAGCACAGAGGACAATGGGAAAATAGAGGAAGGATTTTTTAATTGGCTAGAAAGGATAATGGAGAGACAGGGAGGGGAAGGTGGGAACATCACAGTAATCAGCTTATCCTTGATGCCTCTCATGCCCTCACCCATCTCATCCAGTAGTTTAGTGGGTCTGAATCCTCCATCTCTGCATATTTGAGTCACTTCTCTCCATCCATGGTCACTGCCTGATGCAAGCTACCCATTGCATGCACAGACTGCCACAGAATCTCCTAAATGATTCCCTTGCTGTCACTCTTTTCTTGTGTAATCCAATCTTCACAGAATAGCAAAAATGGAATTTTAAAAACATTTATCAACTCATGTCTTTCATAGACTGAAACTCTTCAGTGTTTCCTATTGCACTTAGAATAAAATCTAGTCTTTTCTAAAATGTATTCTTCCCAAAACAGATAAGAAATCTAACACAATGCTAAAGGGTGCACACTCCAGGGACTGCCATGGTTCATCTCCTCTTTCTACTACTTACTGGGTGCAGAACTTTGAGCAAGCAACTTATCTTCTTAGAACCTCAGTTTTCCTCTTTATAACATATGGGTAACAAGATTCAGTGAGCTAATGTTAAACACTTAAAATAGCTTATTTTTATATCCTTCTGCACAGAGTGCTGTTCAAGTGTTAAATGTTGTTATTATTTATATGAGCTAGTCTCTGCTTATCTTTCTGTCAATATCCCCTACCTTCCCCATTGGTCATTACTCTCCAAATACAGTGACATTTCTGCTGTTCAAACATACTACATGTCTTCCTAATGTCAGGCCAAATCTTGGTTAGTTTGCTATCCTTTATATTCTCATTTCAACTGAAATGTTATTTTCTCAAAAAGGCCTTACTAAATCCCCCAAACCAGCTGTTCTCTATGATGTTGGCCTTTTATTCCACTATCAAAAAATACTTAAATTATTTACTTATTTATTCCATCTCATATGAGGATTAAGTTCAATGAGCTTGGACAATTTCATTGACTAGTACATCCCTGGACACCTAAATTAATACATGGCACAAAGTCAGCACTCAAAACATATTGTCAAAGGGTAGAAAAAATGAGCATGTGGTTGGGAGTATGGATGAATGGATGACATAATGGATGGATGGACAGATGGATGGATGGATGGATGGATGGATGGATGAAATGATGGTTGGATAAAAGAATAGGTGGAATAATATTTAAACTTTGAGTCTCTTGGAGAACAAATTAAACTGTAGAGAGTAAGAGAAACAATATCACTATGCATGTGCAGATTATTTCAGAAAGCCTAAAATGAGTATGGCAGCTGAGTCTATACTGTCTGGAGATATACTAGATAGAAGCAGATCAATGAAGCTCAGGATAGCCTCTTTCTTCAAGTTCTTGGTGCCAAGTCTCTTTAAGTATACTAAATAATAAACTTGGAATTACAGAATCCTCACTAGGTCACTGCAAAATTTAAAACTAAGAAAAACAGTGCAGGCAAACTTCCTGGTTATCGTTAAATTATAAACACTTGCTATCAGCCTTCTTTTTTTTTTCTTGACTCTTCAAATTCTAGCCTTTTGAGTGTTTAATAATCCTTTTTTGTACAGGAAAGTCTTTGAGAAGCAGTGTTGAAGAAATTAGAGTTTTAGAATATGCCCACTGTCATTTATGAACTTTTTGCACAGTTCAAAAGTAAATCTGGGAGCCAGATATGGTGATGCATACTACAATCTCAATATTCGGGAGGCTACAGAATCAAGTTTGAGGCCTACCTGGACTACATAGTGAGACTGTCTCAAAAAGAAAAAAAAAAAGTAATCTAGGAAGTTACCGAAAGCCCACTTTAGTATTCTGCTCATTATTTTCTTCTGATTGGTTTATTTAAATCCATTGCTTTTAGTGAAATAATATTTTAACAAAGACTTTAAGTACTGAATAGATTTTAAAAGATGATCCTTTATTCCAGAGATTTCATGTTACCATTCCATCCATCCCCAATACTTAAATTGTTATTTCAGCTAGCAATAAATTGTTACCATACTCACCTTTATGTAGTGCATGTGTTACTATTAAGGTTGAGCACAGCCAAAAGATGTTTTTTACATTTATCAACATCTTGTTCTAGAAATAAAGAAAAGCAAAGTAAAACATAAGCATTTAGGCTGGTGGCAGTCCATAAATCACATGTTATTTGTGCATTGTATGTTGTAAAAGAAGTAGCTCTTTTTGGGCTATAAAAACAAGAAGAGACTTACAATAAGAAGTTATCTCAACACCCAAATATTAGATTGAATCTCACTCAAGGCAGTAGCTAGCAAAATAATTCCAGAACCCAATTTGGGGACATAACGTTGTAGATATGTGTGACAACCACAACTAGTAAGCCATGGGAAGAACAATAGAGACCACAGCCTAACTAAGGACTAGGAGCTGGCACAAAGAGAGAAAAATGACCACAAAGTCTATTTAGAAATACAGAGCTGATCATGATTAGAGAAAGAGAAGATGATGAAAATGAAGCACTGAAAGTAAGAAATTTGCATCAAATGTGAGGTGAGAAGGAACCCATTGCTGGCTAAGGCACATGATATTAAAATAGAGAACAAGGACCTCCAGAAAGCTTTTTAAAGCACAAACTCGTTGAGTTTCTAGCTGGCTGAACAAACAAAATAAATGTATTATAAGGAGCTGTTAATTACAAAAGTGACCTGTACTTGCCATTAGTTTTAAAGCACTTTCATCAGTTCTAATGTCTCAAGGGTAAATAATGAAAGAACATATCATGCACTGAAAGTCAAGAATCACTGACCTTGGCTTTGCCATTAATTGGTCTTGTGACTTTAGGAAAGACATTTAACCATCTAGGTCTCAGCCTGGTCCCTTTCTGTTTGGATTTCTAGACATTGTACTCATTAGGATGATACCAGTGTTAGGGAGTACTATAGTTTGGATTTAAATGTTCCCAATGTCATGTCTCCCCCCTCCACACACACACACCATGTCTTAAGGACTTGGTCTTCATTTTGGCACTATTGGAAGGTGGAAGAACCTTTTAGAGGTGGGAGGCGGGTCTTAGGTCATTGGGGGTGTGCCCTTGAAGAGGATGGTAAGATGTTGGTCTCTTCCCTTTTTTTTTCAGGCTGCCTTGCTCTAGCACATGGTCACAAATATGATGTACTGATGCCCCAAAACAACAAGGCCCATCACTCATGTACTCCAAAACTGAGCCAAAGTAAACCTTTTCTCTTTACAAGTTGACTATCTCAGGTTTCTGTCATATTAAATGTAAAGCAGATTTTATTGTTTCATCAGGGCTTCTTGTCATTTACAGATGAAGAAATTTGGCCAAATATTCTAGTAGCAATTATGAATACTTTTAACTTCCTTAAAAAACAGCTAAATTCTTTGCTATCTAGGAAACCTAAATGGAAAAGAAGTAAATGTTGTAAGAATAGAAGTTCAACTTGTTCTCCAAAGTTCAATTTTGTAATTTATGAAAGCTATTTCTTTTTCCTTAATATAATTCTGTATTTGATTTTATGTCCTCAAATAAGTGTTAGAACCTCTTTAAAACAAAATTATAAAATTGTATAATTCTATATATCTCATAAACAGCATTTTTAAAACTTGCATATTTTCCATCTATAGGTCTATTGATAATTCACAATGAAAAGGACATATTGGATAATCCTAAATTAACCTTGATGATTAAGTTTGTTATTTATCAAATAGTAATTATGATATGCTAATACAGACTTAGCTAAATACTAACTGGGAAATGCCATAAAGTTTTTACATTTCTGGATTTGCATAAGATACCAAAGCAAGGTGGTATTATTTATGAGTTTATGTTTTGGACCAGCTTAGAAAAAATAAACATACCAAATTCACAGCCAAGATGAAAATTTAGGTTGTATTATAAAACCCTATTAAAGATAATGCAATCCACAAGTATAAACTGAATCCACATCACAAATCTTTCTTTAATTATACTTCTAAATATAATAATTTCCCACTTTCTTTCAAGTAAAAAAGTACTCTCTTTTCTTTCCTCTTTCCTTCAGGAAACATAGCTGAATTTTTAAAGTCTGGACTGCACTGTCAAACAGCCCTGCATTCAAGTTCTGCCTCTTCCACTTGCACTCTCAGATTTTAAGTTAACATGTCTCTCTAAACATCATTTTCTGTAGTCATTAAAGAGTAAAAATTAGTACCTACTGTTGAAATGATGATGAGAACTGATATAACAATGGACATAAAAATAGCTCATTGATACACAGTGTATTTAGTCCTCAATACTTATTAATATTATGAATTCGGGATTTCTAGAGGTATTCTAATTAAATTACAACCACAATAATATCAGTGTACAACCTCATGCTTGTGATAAATTATCTTATAACTTATTGCTATGTAATATGTTTTTAGCACCACTCCAACCCCCATTTCCAGTCTTCTGCTCTTCAGTGTCTATCTTGTAAGCACCATCTGTTAGTGATAACAAGCCTGTGTACATGGAAAGACAGGGGAGATACAAGAGCCAGTGCCTATATTTAACCTTCTACTTCAGTAAAGTCAATGAGAAGAGGAAAACAACATCAAACAATCAAAGTACAGCTGATTGAAACTGTTTAGTTACCTAGGGGACACAGAGACAAGGTCAACAGCACTCAACCATGAGAAATAATGTCTACAGAGTGGAAGTTCACACCAGAGATGGTCTGCCTCAGAGAAAGAGTCAACGTTCTATTAAATAGATATTTAGTATTCTCTAACAATCTTAGGGAAGCCAAGATGAGCAACGAGTGGCTTAAGGACATGGACACAGTGGTTTTGTCTACTATTCTACTCTAGACAACCAATTGTCTAAGATACCTCAGTTACAAAGTGGATGCAACAGGCATTGCCTATCTTCTTATATAACTCCTTGGTTCTTTCTCACAGAAAGAATCCCTATAATAAAGAAACAGCTCATGCTTTAGACATGAAATTTCATGAATTTACTTCACAGTAGTAATAGTACTATGTGAATTTGTCACTGCCTTGGAACTGGATTCCTGAACCTGGGCTTAAATACATTTTTCAATGTAACAACACTTAGCATTGCTTTGTTCTCTGCCTGCTAGTCACTTGTCTTATTATTCTATCTTTCTTGTTCTGTATTTCCACTATAGCACATATCACCACCACTTTGCAAATGTGTTTGGGAATTTCTTTTCTTCGCACCATGTAATAGAAACTCTAAAAAAATCATCTTTAGTGTTTTCTTCATTCCTATGTCCACAATGCCTAGGACTAATGAATATACACTCATTTTTTAGTATATATTAAATATTTGCTCACTTTGTTAAATGGATATATACTCATTGTTACATAATTAGATGCATATTTTAAACACAGTTTTGTCCATTACTTTTGTAATTTAAAATACATGTTCCCAATCATAAAATACAAGTTTTCTGTTATTTTTAGCTACAGCAGTTTTCCGTTAGTTTGATGTAGTAGCAACTTTTATTTACCTGGTTTTTATTTATTTGCTTACCTAAGTAATAAATTTTTATTTATTTATTTACTTAAAGGTTCCCTGTGGCAAACCATTAGGATTTTTTTCCATAAAAAAACAAGGTCACAAAGGAAATCCTTGTCCATTTCTCTTGAGTGACATTTGTACCTATAGCTACATGACACTGTCTAAAAGCAGAATTGCTGGGTCAAAGGATACATGCATTTTAAAAATGTTTTTGATGGTGAATCAAAAACTTTGATTACTAAATTATTTTCTAAAGAAAATGAACTTGCTTACATTCCCATAGTAGTTTATGAGAGATAGTGAGTTTCTCTACAACTCAGTTATCACAAATGCTTCTCAAACTTTTTCTTTACTGTTCTGATTGATGAAAAATCATAGTGTGTCACTGGTATTTTAATTACTATTTCTTTAACAATGAATGAAGCAGACAAATTTTCATATGATTAAAAAGCATTTATATTTATCCGTGACACTTACCAGAATGTGACTTTTTCCCATTTTTAACATAGATATGGTCTTGTTAAAAATTATTCCTAAAAGTTCTTAGTGTAGCAGGAGTTATTATCCCTTTGTCTCTCATGTGTTCCAAATGCGTTGTGTAGATAAAGTAATTCTTATTTACTCAGACTTGGTTTCTGGGTTTATGTTTGCTTAGACTAGGTTTTTCCTCCTACCTAGTTTATTTTTCAAATCTCATGGTTTCCTCTAGTGACTTTTTCTAGTTATTTAACAAATATCATTCCCTATATTTCATAATTGAGTCATCTTAAATTTTGTTTAGGATGAGAAATAAGATATTGATTCTCATTGTGAATTGACCAGTAGTTTGTCTCCAAATTGTTTATTGAATAACCTTTCTTTTCCACTGAATGACAATGTCATTTGAGTCTATTTCTGAACTTTGTCATCTGATCACTGAAACTATTTTTTAAAAGAATGTGTCTCTCTCAGACTCATTTTATATGTTCAGTGGGAAATACAGTTTGGGAATGCTGTTATTATTAAGACTATAGAATTAGGTCAATATAAATTCCATAAGCAACATCTATTAACATCCCCTTATTTATATAGTTTTTCCATTTTCAAAGACTTCATAGATATTTGATCTTTACAACTACATTCATTTAGTAGATTATGACACTAAAGATCCAGAAGTTCTGTCTTAACGTGGTTCTCCCCACTGGAGAATCCAACTCAAACTTTCTGATTATAAATCTAGTGCTTATTCCACTGTACTTCCTGTAACATTAAATCAGTAATCTAATTGTAAAAATAATAATTTATTACACATTCTATGTGTGTTTAGTATTTTAAAAATTCTTAAAATGTAAATTTAGATGTAGGTTTACATTTGTACCCTTTTATAGGTGATATAATCAGAGGGTATATTTATACATATATATGTATCTATATACATGTATGTATACATATATATACATGTATATATACGTAAATGTATGTATGATTTATCAAATCTAGGTACAAAAAACTATCAAAAATCCACTAATTCAATTAGAGCTTGCTTGGACAACACATTTATCTCTGCAGCCCTTGTTCTGATTCCAAATCAGAGCAAGCACAGGCTTTGTGTTTTCTAGTAAAATACAAACCTATGCAACAATCAGTATATTTTTTCAGACAAGAGCAAGTAACCCCTAACAATGAGTGCCTGTCCTAACTGATTTTTCTAGGTGGGTGGTGAAAAAATACTCTACTACAGTCTCATTTTTTTCCTCAAAAGAACCATGTGTCTTGAGAAGTTCTACTCCTTCACAGAGCAATATCCCATTTTAAATATTTAAAATATCCCATTTTAAACGTAGTGTCTATTGATGTCCATGAATAAAGTCAACAAAAGTGTTTAAACTCCACCAGGAAAGGAGAGCTTAGTTCTGAATGTGGGAGACAGTTAGTTGATCTTTGTGCTTTTAAAGGTCCTGATGCTAAATTAGTGACCAATCATTAACCACAGAGTGTTTAAGGGTAGGAATGTAAGAAAAGACAGAACAATGAAGGTGTCTTTCAAATTAATCATATTCAGCTTTGAGTTAGCTTTGCAGATCCTTTCCAAAAATCAATTTACTAGTGTACTGATACTGGTATCAGAGATACCTCCCTCCAATTGGCAAAAACTAAGAAAAAGAGAAAGCCTTTTCAAATTTCAGTTTTAAAAGAAGAAAATACAACTCAGAAAAACTCCTAAAAGTTTTTTTAACCTACTAGGAAAAACAAAACTTTGAACTCTTACATAAATTCTATCTGATAGTCTTGAATCTCATCCTTCTTTCCACCACCCACAAGAAGATTAAGGACAGTGGACTTCCTACTGGAGGAAGTAATTGCTCAATTACTTTGCAATCTATTGGAACCCTTTGCAGCATTAGTGGTGACAGGCATACGCAATTATTAAGTATTCCTTGTTTTACTTAGAGCTCAGGACTAGAATTCAGAGTCGTTAGACCTTTTCCTTGATACCTTGCACTTACATTTCCAAGTTACATATTCCCCGAACTAGGACAGTTCCTAGTATCTCAGACAACTGTTACTCCCATTGCTGCTTTCCTATTTTTTGTATTAAACTCACAATGTACTATTAGGAATTTATATGAATATTCTCACAATGGGCTTGGCACAATTACCAAGCAGTACTTAACACAATTTAGGCCACAGCTCTTAGAAGGAAAAGGGAGGGAAAGTACACCAATTGGCAATAGAATTTCAAGTGATAGAAGAAATAAACCCAGTCCTTCCAAAATAGAACTAGGAGAATTGGAAATACGGCTCTAAGAAACAGCATCTAGCCTGCACCATGTTCTCCCAGGTCTCTGAATCAATAATTTCATTAAATTTGCACTGAGCACCTATTAAGGGTTCAACCCACTGGAAGGCTCCTGACTGATACACCTCAAAGTTACACCAGCAACCTTTTAAGGCTTGTTCTTTTGCAATCTATCAGTCCTGTCCAAAAAAATCTTTTGCCATTATAGAGGAGCTCTACAACAGTCTGAAAAGTCATTAGTCTTGTAACCAACTAAAAATGATCTTTAGATAGACTTGTATATATTTTAAAACTCATACATGGAGCACAGGACAAACCTGTCTCATTTTCATGCCAAAAAAGAGTTTACTTGCAGGAAATGTTTATCTTCTCCTGCTCTCAAGGCAAAACCTATGTACCTCTCCTACCACTACCAAAAAGGAAGAAAAAAAAATCTTAAACCTTTTTAATAAGAGCGTTTAGCGCCATCTGGATAGAAGTTGGGACCGCTCCAGCTGCAGCCAACCCAGAGCGCAGGGCCCGCGGTCCCCTGGCTTCTCTAAGCCAGGGCCCCGCCTTCCCCGGCCCCGCCCCGCCCCGCCCCCATTGGCTGCTGCCGCTGGGGACCCAGGCTGAGCTGACCGCCTGTGCAGCTGTGCAGCTGTGCAGCTGTGCAACTGTCTCGGAGCCCAGGAAGTCACACCCGTCTCGGGCCGGGAGCTGAAGCTTCAGCCCACGTGGCGGCTGGCGAACCCCGAGGGGAGTGCCGGGCGCAGTTCCTCCCCGGCCGGGGCTGAGCGAGCAAGGGCAACCCGGAGCCCAGGTCCTGTAGGCGGAGTTGGACCACCTCTGCTCATCTAGTTCCCATCCTCCTATCCCTGCACGCCGCTCCAAATGCATTTGTTACGCTTTGAATGTAAAAGTGTCTTCAACCCAGACCCGAAATTCAGACCAAAATCTTGAAGCGAGCCCTTCCGGTCCCCGGCTGTTCGCATGCCCCTGCCCCATCTCTTCTCCTTTCTTTTTCGCCTTCCGTCCATTGTCCCCTTTTCTTTCCTATACTTCTCTTTCCTTTATTTTTCCTCCCGAAGCCAGGCTTTCTCCACAATTTCCACGTGCAACATTATGTCCTGAAGTTGAGAAAGTTTAAGTTTTGAACTAAGGGCTCTTCTTTTGCGTGGTCCTGGGGTGGGGCCCTAGCATTGGGTTCAATTGATCATGGACCTTGAAAAATTAGTAAAAGTAGGCATTTTGGATACTTTGCTTTAATATTCACAAATTGCGCGTCAAGAACCCCCAAACCTACACCTACCCTTGTCGTGTGTTAGTTCACCCCGCTGCAGGCTCCACCCAAAGCGCCGCTGGCAGCCCAGGCGATTTGCCCGGGCTGTCGCACTTGGAAAGACAAAATTCCCTTTTTTTCACGTCCTCCAAATCCCTAGATTTACGTCTCAGATTCTGAATCGGAAAACTAACGACCGAATGGGGAAACGAGAGCCTTTCACAACCTTGAGGATAAGGTTGTTAAAGTGGTTGACTTGCCTAGGGGGCTTCTTTTCTTCCACTAGTGCTGATTTCTCCATCAGGGGGAGCCCACTCCCGCCACAAAACTCCCTATTTCCTAGACATCAGGGCACTGCGAGTCTGAACTGGAGACCCATCTACAGGAGCGCACCGCCTCCCTTGCCCCTCCCTCCTCGCCTGCCTCCACGGACACAGAGGGCAGGCATTTCACACTAGCCATTCATTTGTCAGCCATGGGGGAGGGGACGCAGAAGCAGATAGAGCAGAGACTGGGAGAAGGGAAGGGAAGCAGAGAAGATGGAGACAGAGAGGGAGACACAAAGATGAGACGCTGGACACAGATAGTTAGACTTTCTACTGCGAGTGATACGGCTCTCCAGGCGTCCTGGAGACTTCCCCTTCCCCCAGAACCTCCAGGGGACATGCAAGACTTGCCGAGGCGCATCTGGATTCGAGAGCAAATAGTTTAGACTATGACACTCTTTTCCTATCCCGCTGTCCGCTATCAAACACCCTGACCGCTCCACACCCAGTGACACTGAGACCGAGCCGGGACAACCCGGATGCCGCTTGCACACGCACCAGGGAAGTCGCTCTGCAGCCCTCACGCTTCTGCAGGGCTGTGGGACGCTCCAGCCGAGGGCGTGCCCCGGGACTCCCCGCACACGCTCTCTGCAACCACTAGAAGACCCGCCAGTAAAGTTGCTCAACTAGACCCGGGAACTGGGGGCTGGTAGGGATAGGGAAGGAAGCCGAGGACTGCTGTAATGCTGGCGAGAGGGCTGGACCCATTGGTTCCTAATTCGGGTGCCTGAGCCACCTTTGTCTACAGAGCGTCCTGGGCGCTGGTTTGCTTGTTGAGATGAGAGGGATAGCCCCATTTCGTTTTTTCAGGGTGAGAAAACAAACAAAATTCCACATCTCTGCGAGTTCAGGGCAAGCTTTCCCGCCCAGGCGCCTCTCACATCTCCCCGGAGCTCCAACGACCCCACCCCCATCCCCTGCGCCTTCCCTGCGGGCCCCGGCGCACAGAACGCAGGACAAAAGAACCCAGAGGCACCGGGAGAGAGCTGTGACAGCCCCCAGGTTGTGAAAGAAACGCAGCCCGGAGCCCTGCGCCCCTCGGCTGCCCGATCTCTTCCCACGATGCCTACGGGCGGAGGGGGTCACGTTCGCTCAGGCCCCAGGCTGCTGGGGAACCCAGCTGCACTGTCAGGAGCTGCCCAGGAGTGGCTTTCCAGGAACGCCAGGCAATGACCACACACCAGGGGCCAGGAAACCAGGTGGCCTGCACCAAGGTGGCTTCGGGGACTTGTATTGTGGACAGGTCTCCGGAGTCCCCATTCAAACTTTTGCGTTAAGCAGATTAACAACAACAACAAAAATCAAGGTACAAGGAGTGCCTCCCCTTCTTTTAGTTTAGGATACCAGGACTTTTCTAAGATTTTTCTACAAACCCCTTCCCCCCAATTCTCTTAATCCTTCTTCCTCCACCCTACCCCGAGCTTCTTTTGTCTGGATTTTTTTTCAGCACCAAGGAACCTGTTTTTCTCTCTCCAAAAGCCTTCCTGAAAGTTACCTGTATTTTTTTTTTTTAGCTGCTCACATTTTCTTGACTTCGCCTTCGAGCTATTTCTCTGCCTTAATTAAAGCCCCGCTACCAATTGCAATGTAGCTTTTTTTCTAAGCTCGCGGGGTTCTCCCCCCCAATAAGTTTTTTTTTTCTTTTCTTCTTTTAAAGGGGGAACAAAAGAAACGTGATTACCTTGAAAGGCAGCTTATTGCAGTTTAGGGGAAAAAATCACCGCAGTGCTGTGAGAGTGGGCTCCACGTTGCCCAGGCAGGTCGCATAGGAAGCACGGTGGCCTGGGAAAGGGTGCGGAGGGTGCGGGACGGTGCTGGAGGATGGGAGAGGATGTGGTCCCAGCTCCTGTCCACAGCACCTACTGTTCGCGGCTGTTGCACCCGCGCGCCTTGAGTTCTTCCCCAGAAAGGCTCGGGGCAGCTCGCCTGCAAGTTCAAATGCGGGTTGTGACACCCATCATCATTATATCACTCTACCGTCAGCGCCGAGGAGGAGACTCCACGAGGAGAAGGAGGAGGGAGAGGAGGAGGGTTCATTCACAGGCTCCAGAAGCGCTCTACAGCTTCAGCCACTCCTAAGAGCCCAGGCTAGGAAAGCAGGCGGAGGGGGAAAGGCTCCCCACGCCTGCGGTAGGGACCGCCTGCCTTCCTCCCCAGGCACTCCCACCTCTCAGCGTTTCTTCCTGACAAGAAGTACCAATAGGCTTAGGGACAACAGCACTCCCCATTCAGCAATTCACTCTGTAACATCTCGCCTTGCTCAACGAAACCACTGCCTCCCCACCCCCACTTCCCCGCCCCCAGTACTGCCAGTTCTGAATTAGGGGGAAGGAGCCCCCAGGCTCTTGTGGGGCAGGAAGCACGAAACAATTGAGTATGGTCAGTTCTTAAGAACAAACGAAACTGTAAAATCAGCAAAGAACTTGGCGATAGAGCTTTTATGGGCCCACAGAGCTTGTCTGTCCCATCTAAAGAAGTGTCAGGCTCAAGGCTCCTGCCAACCTGAAAGAGACACTGAGAAAAGGAGATCCTTCTGAGCCGTAGAGGAAAAGTGTAAGCATTGCCACTGCCCTCCCCAAGTAGCTGCCCAATGGGGAGCCCGCAGGCATCGCGCAATACACAAAGACCCTGGTAATAAAGGGCTGGACAGGAAATTCCCCCAGGCAAATCCCTTGTTGGATTCAAAAAGAATCCTTTTCGCCTGCCCCGCAAGTCCTCATCTCTCCAAGTAAATCTAGACTCTGCTTTCTTCCTTCTTCCTTTCCCTCTGTCTTTCAGTGTCCCTTGTAATAGAATATTTGTTAATTTTTCTGAGTAACAGAGACTTCTTGGATGTATCAGTCACCTTCCGTGTTGTCAGGAATTGGAACCATAATCTTTCAAATGTCTCTACAATTTTTTTTTCACTTAGGCCCACACCACTATGTAAACAACATCAACACATGGAAGAATACCCTTCATTGTGCTACAAAAGATTTCCAATAGGACCCTAGGGAGCAAAGGGTCAACCAGTTGACACAAAGGATTTCTACCCCTTTGAGAAGAGGGACTTTGGATTTCCTTTTCTTTGAAGTTAAGTATGATTTTCTACAATGGGAGCAAAATAAGTCCAAGTTACATGCCAGTGTAACATGGGCATACTAGAAGAATGACGAAGTTTTCTTTCTTATAAATATGGAAATACTTGTAATTCTCTCTGAGGGTTCTACTTAGAATACTACATCTGATACACAACTTCAGAAAGTCATGCTGAAAGCTGAGAGTCAAAACTCACATATTAATAAGGACTCCTGTACATTTCTTTTCTAAGTTGTATGCATTCAGCATGAACATAGATTTTAAATGATAAGCAGGTGGAAAGTTTAGCAGGACAATTTCTCTCTTAAAATGTGCAGTTTTATTTCTTTTTTACTTATCAGGTCACTACAGCATTATTGGCTCACTACAGTGAGCATGTCCATATGCATCATTGGGAAATCAGGGTTTTTTGCAGTGAATTATTTATCCTTGGCACAATGGTTGCACTTGCATTCCTAAAATTGAAATTTCATCCCATTAAAGGTTTAGAATAACAGACCTATACACTTACAGAATCAGACTTCAACATTCTGCAAATTAAGGTACAGAAAATGACTTTCCCAAAGTCACACAATTAACAACAGAGATTATACCAGAACTCAGTTCTTGACTCAAGATGACTTCAGAGGAGGGAAATGAAGCAAAATGAATTTTCATTGAAATTTATAATCCAGGCATTAGGATAGATATTTCTCTAAAAACTTCAGATATCTACCATTATTCTCATTCTTAAGTTTGTGTAAACCTAATTTGAGTTTCACAGAGTTTAAGTGACTTGCCCAATGCTGCTTTGTGACAGCTGCCAGACTGTAAACTAATCATCTGTTACCTTACAAAGCAATTCTACGAAGGAGAACTAGAGCAGAAACAACTAAGAATAAGTTAATGCCATTTCAAGGAAATGGTAATAGTGAATATTCACTATAAATAATACCATCTGTACATGATGGTACTTTATAGAAAGGTGTGGGTCAGGTGCTCCTTACATCCTGAGATGTTTCATCTTGTCAAATGTGTTTCTCTAGTTCTTCAACATTTATAGTTCCTATACCATCCAGACATTCCAATCCCAGACCAGGGCAGAAGTACTTTCTTAGGCTATCTCAACTAGTCAGAATATGGACAATGTTGAACAAGCTTCATACCACATGCCTTGCCTGTTCTTTGGTTTGTAGCACTATTATTTATATAATTAAGCTTTTCTTTGGGCTGTTATATAAGTAAAATAAAAGAGTACTTCAATATTTGCTTTCTTTCACTAGACAGATTTCTCCCTTTAGTTCTCTATAATAAAGAAAGAACTAAAGGAGAAAAGAAAATCATATGAGATTTATTCAGGATATAGCTGCATCTAGGGAAGTGCTTTTGAGGGGTTTTTCTTTTTCCTGCAAAGAGAATAAGAAAGCAGGTATTTCTGATTCTGCAATGTATGACAAAACTAGCAGAAGTTTTTGAGTGGGAAATATTTTTGCATTTTATTGCCAAAACTATATTTACATGTCCATTAACTCAGGTCTAAACCATATGGTGCTTAGAATCTCATTCTGTGAGTCTCCCTTGAAATCATGTGCTTGTACTGCAAATGTTGTGCATGTAAACTCCAAGATCCCAGGTAAAGATAAAGCAAGATGTTCATTCATAGTGCTGGTGTCTACAGGAAACCAAAAGCCAGAAGCAACGTGCTTTGCTTCCTTTCCTTGATCTTGTCTTTAGGAACTTGGCTGAGCCTCAGGGGCAGGCAGCCAATGACTTGAAGAAGAAAGGTGTAGATGGCAGGTAGGTCTCCAGGGAATTTCATTATCTTCATTTCGACCTCCTTCTGAGGACCTTTAGGATCACATTTCAGTCTTCTCTTTTTTGTTGATCAAGTGAAGTGTTCTTAGACATGGCAGTATCTGTTGCTAGACTAGGGATGACAAGATCCCAGTCCTATTCAAATTCAGAAAACAAAGAGTTCATATTTCAGTTTATTGATCTGACTGATCCTAAGGCACAACCAAACAAAGTATGGTCTCTGGATTGTGAAAGAATGCTATAGATTGTAAGTGCACCTTAACTGACTTTCAAAAATCCTAGAAAAAGGAAGTCAACTTTTAAGATTATGTCATAAATTAAAAAAATAAAAACTACACATTAGGAGTGGACATCTAACCAACACTTTAAATGCTCTGGTTTTGTAGGAAATGAGGAGTAATATAAGGTCTTTATTGCCTCCTTTAAAAAATAAAAAGGAACCCTGCAAAAGGCAAAGTGATAGTGACAATCTCCTTGCACTTTAACCTGAAGTAAATAAACTACTTAGACAACTTAAACACAGACACATATACCTAAAAAGCCATGAAAATTTAGAGCTTTCTCTGAAATCGAATACTGAGCATCTGTCTCCCCAAACCCTAAATCAAAATGTTGCAGTAAAATATTTCTTTCGGTAAAAGAGTTTTCTTCTTTCCTGTAAATGCCCTGTACGTGGTTGGGTAGATTTCTCCAGAACTTAACTGGAAGCCCATCTACATCATGGTGGAACTATGCAAGCCAAAGCCAAGTCCCAACGAGGAGTGATGGGAGAGGCTGGGCTGCTGAGAAAGGAGATGACTTCATTAGGGAGAAGAGAGTCTTTCTGAGTCGGTCTACAGTGCAGCCAAATGGCTCAGCACATCTGCATTTGCCTGGGGAGGCTGCCTGGAGCAGAGCATCAAAAATGCTATCATTTTTACAAAGAAAAAGACCAAGGCATAAAGAAAGCAGTCCACTGAATCAAATCAAGGATAGCATCAGTCTTATTCCCCTCCTTACTTACTTTCTCAAACTCTTTTCCTTCTTTCCCCAGAGTCTAAAAAATATAGGTCACTGTTTTTTTTTTTTTTTTTAAGAAAGCATTTTTCTGACTGAACCAAGAAGAACGGAAGAGTCTGGTTTCTGAACACAAGGAAGCGGTAGAGATCTTAGAATCCATGAGGCAGGAAAGGAAACAACGCAGAGGTTTTCTGAAGAGGCCAGACTTCTGCAGTTGCAGTTCATTTTCTGTGGCTCCCAGTCCCCATTTCTTTAATTAGACTACAATGGGACCCAGAGACAAGAAGCTTAATGAAAACTGCTGCACTGATAGCACAAAAAGGCACCATTAGTTTCTCCGTGGTAAGCAAATGCAGGAGGCAGGACAAGAAACAAAGAAACTGCCACACAGTGAGAAGACTGGAGAACACCAGTATAGGTGCAGAAGTAACAAGAAGGGATTCCATTTTTATTCTACCAGTTAAAAGAAATCCAGGACTAGTTAAATGCTAGAGACCTTACTCTGTTGTCCTGAAATATGAGTAATCACATCTTAGCCCTACAAATCAATGGAAATCAAATATTTGGTATGAGGATTCAAATGAATAGAAGAGTGTGTATAAGACTCAGCAAATACTCATCACAGCCTGCTATTCGTGTCTCTTTTATTTGCTCAACTCAACAAAAAAATCCAACATGGATTATGACTACTGTTTTACATATTAGGCATTTAGGTATTTTTTTAAAAGGTAAGAATCGCTTCTCATTCTCAAGGAGGTTATAATCTCTGTAAAAAAAAAATCATGAACATAGCCAAGGTTATAACTTTTCTGCCTGATGACTAATGAACTTAAAGGAAAAATACATAGTTTTCTTGCTTTCATTAGTTGGTTTAGTCAGGCATCTTTTAAAAAACATCCCATTGGCTACAAATTGAACAGAGGAGAATGATAGCTCAACACACCTATCTCCTTTACTGGAAAGTCTCTTTCATACATGCATTCTACCAACATAGGATCCCAGGCATTTCCTTTATTGCATATGAAGAAACCATATTTCTCTTTACCTCATATTAATAGCAGTGGCTTAAATGATATACACACGAGTTCATTTAAGTTTCTGAATGTCTTCCAGAGTTGATAAATCAAATCATCATACTTTGTGGGGAAAAAAAAGGTGAATGAGGGAAGGAAAGAATTAAATATCATCTAACAAGAAAAGAAATTTCTGGAACTGATCACTCTAAGGGTCTCTGCTGGACACAGGGATCAAATGTAAGCATTTAAAAGCAAGAGAAAAGAACAATTGCTATAATTTCT